AGGGGAAATCTGTGCGCATCTGGAGACTAAAGGATGCAAAAGCAAGGATCTTAGCAAGGAGCTTAGCACCGCCATGATAGCATTGCCTGCAGTGGCACTTGTCTTTTCCTCGGTTTTTACCGAGGAACTAGTGGTGTGGGAGTGAGTGTCCATGTTTCCGAAGAAGAGACTTGTCAAAAGGCACATGGCTGGTGGATACCCACTGCGAGTGTGATCATGGCATGTGTGTCGCGGGATGTCTGGTGGCTCCGGGGAGTGCTGTGAAATTGTCACAACATCTTTCAGGGTTGCCCGTTGGGACCATAAAAAGTATGAAAGAAGGGAGAAAAAAAATAGGACAAAGATGTACGGAGACAAACGGCAAGCAGAACAAGAAGGAAAAAAGATTAACAGCAGTGGCCTGAACCGTGTGGGGTATGGCCTTGCACCTTGGTACAGGCAGGATCAGTATCAGCCGCCACGCTACATCATGTATCATCTGATGCCAAAATCAAGCTGGACAAACACACACCATGAAGACTGGGGGAATGGCAGCCATTATCAGCCCAGAGGGGTAAGTTTGGAAAAAACACGAGTGCAAGTACTGTGAAGCCGAGGCAGTGGGGAAAGAGCACTGTGTCCCTGCCACCAACCGTGAGTGCAATCATTAACTCCAAGGTTACTGGAGGAAGAGACTGACCACGGAGCATACAGAGCTTTTATCCTCACTGAACCAGCTACAGGGAGGGTTCAGGGGAAGCCAGTATTCAGCAGAGTCAAAGCCTGTGCAGATATACCTTTGCTACATGTTTAAGTAAACTGCTGACTGCAAAGTTTCTACACTTCACAAAAACATGAGGCGAGAGTTTTGGAAAAAAAAAAGGCAATTCTATAAATGCTCAACCGGCAAAGCTTCTCTAAATAGAGCGGAAATGGTGTGTGAGGCGTGTGGACAGAGACAGAAAGGGGAATAACACTTCTTCATTGCTGCAGAGAGAAAGAATAGAAAATGAGGAAGATGGAAGACTTCTGTTGACTCCAGTTCTTCTTTTCTGGGTTGTCCTGAAAAATAGAGTACAAAGCACAAATACGCACAATGTCATCAGTCATTCAACAAGCACACAACACAAACAAACAGATATAAGAGACAGTAACTCATCAGACTGTCCTCTCTGTAGTCTGAAGGTTAGATTAAGGCCACCAGGGTTTTCAGTCTGACTATTTTTCTTATAAAATAGGAAAGAGGGCAGCAGCTGATTTCTTAAAAGAAATCAGCTGCTGCCCTCTTTTTAATCAATCTGCTCAGTGCTATTTACAACCCTATGAATTACACCAACACAACTTAGTGCAACTAAAAACATAAATACTGATAAATACACAAACATATTTCCAAAGTATTGGAAAACATCTTCCAATTCTCAGTCCCTAAGAGATTGTGTGCTCTGTTTAGCTTTTCTGCCCCCAGCCCCCCAGTTTTCCTCTGACCATTCCCATTTTTCACAAAAAGGAGTCATCCCTTTCCAGGGATTGAGCAAATCTTCCTGCCGCTCACTCTCCAAATATTTATGAGCCCCATGTCTAATGGTGTCCCTATACATATTAATAGAGTTTCATTTTCAGCTATATCAAAGTGTTTCCTCTCCTCCCCTGCAACCTTGTCACATTACAATGCCATTATTCCCTCTGACAAACTCTTCCAGACGAGTCAACTATCATTTCAAGCAGCTTTGTGTCCAAAAAGCAATGTCTTGTAATGAATAGAAAGGGCTGAATACATTTGTAGAGAAGAATCCGTTTTATAAAGTGAAACAATCGCGGAGTAGCAAGAAATTAATGAAGCAACTGTAGAATAAGCAGCTCTGAAGTACTTAAGTTTTGAAGACTTTACTGTAAAACAATTACAGAAAGTTACATCCCATATATTGATAAGATAAATCTCCACTGGTGACACAGAGGAGACACAATGGCCCTCGCATCGCTAAAAAGAGTGGCCGCAACAGGAGGCTATACGAATCAATATCTAGCACAGATTCTGAAGAGGGGGCACAGGTTGATATTTTTCTTGTAGGCTACATTAAGTTTGATCATCTGAGTGGAGACTGCAGAGTGGGGGTTCCTCTGTGGCTAACACGTGCGACTGTTGTATTCGTGGATCTGAGATGTCTTAATGGAAGCCAGCAGACTACAGCAGCCTGTGACAGTGTGAAATGAGAGTTCAGCTCAACCATTTTCTCTCGCTCTGTTCCAAATGGCAAAAAACAACGCTACATGGCAGGGAGGCCCCTGCAGGGCTTTTTAGCTCGATGAGATATGATTTGACTTGTTGGCAGATGTTGTATTTTTACCAAGGCAGTCCCACACAGAGCAGCGCACGTGCACACACGTGCTCCACACTCTTGTCTGAGCGCAGCACACACAGTTAGGTGTGTGTGTGTGTGTGTGTGTGTGTGTGTG